AGATTTACACCAGATGCCACTTTTCATGATATTCGGCGACAACGGCCTGTCTTCCGGTCGTACTATTAATTTTGTACCACTAATAGCCTCTCGCGGTACCCTTGACGATAAGCGAGGTCGGAAGCGCACCACTGTCTAATTGACATATCATGCCAATTGGGTCCCGCACCTTATTATTCTAGTATTCCTCAGGGCTAGTTGGCACCCCGTCTACAAATCTCACAAAGCCTGAATAGCATCTGATCATCCCTCTGAATCACCGCCTTGCTGAATAGCAGGTTTTTGCAGAGCGGATATCACACAGATGCTGCTTTTGTATTCAGAACCCTAGTCAGCAGTTGTGTAGGAGAAGCAATGACGTCTTACGACATTAACTGATCAGAAAAAGCATACGATCTGTTGTCGTATGAGCTGCAATGGTGACGCCAAAAAAATCAACATTCCCTAAAAAGTTTGCAATATCAAAATTGAGATGAACAACAGAAAAGAGTCTCCATGAAGAGTCTTACTGCAAGGTTAATACTGGTGAGACTTGAGTGTTCTATGGATAGACATTGGCTTCCTTCATGTTCTTGGTTTTACTGTTCTTTCCCAAGACAAGCTGGAGAAATGCCAAGGAAGTAGCTTCATTGGGTAGGGAAGGAGATATCGATTCGTCATTTGGTTAAATAGCAGTTAATCATCATTGCTTCCAGATTCTCATAGCTTAAGGCAACAGTTAATGAGGACGATGTTAGAACTTTCATTTATCAACGCATTTGGATGCCGTATAGCAGCGTCATAATAACAGTAAATCACCCCAATAATAATGGATTTTACATCGGCCTTGTTACAGTTGCCTTGAACTCTGGATAAGGGAGCGAAGAGTCATGTACGTTGGCACTTACTGATGATGGTGGCGTGCAACGAGGTTGCGCAAGGCATGCGTGGAGAACTGATTAGCAACTGACAGCGTCAAGATCAGTAGAATCAGAAAGAAATCATTCATTCATCTTCCATGACCGCTTCTCCCGTTGGGTCGCAGGCAGAAGAAAATCAATGAAAGCTAAATACCATAAAACAGTTTTATGGTGGTTAATCCTGCCGATGAAAAGAAATTCGCAGTTCACTGCCGATGTTAACGCATTCGACAAATAAATGCTGCAGATGATACTTTATGCCCGATGAACGATACGATTTCTAACTGTTCGCATGAACAATCCGAATACAATTATCCTAACCTTTCTGTTTGATATGTAATTATAGTACACGTGGCCTACCAAGAGCTTCTAACGGCATTGGGGACAGCCATGTGGCAGAGAAAAATCGTTCCACTTTTCAGACCAGTGGTTTAACTGGTTCTAATCCAAATACGGCATCGATTTTCATATCAACTGGAACACGGAATTCACTCGACAGTACTTCAATACAGTCAACCGTGAAACGGGTAGCCAGTCGTTTACTTATGAACAACAATGACGAGATGGTGATATGGTGCCGTGGTCATATCAGATTTGGAAATTTGGGATTACTCTACCTGACGCCTGGCCATGCCAGGTTGCTTATTCCTAACTGGGATAACTCATTAACTGAAACCTTATCTGTCAGTTATGATTGTAGTGGTATCATTGCCACAATATCGATTATCTTCATGGCTACCGTTGTGAATATGGAGAACATGCGATACTGTGTTTTGTCACGATATTTAATTCTTCACTTTATCATTATTCACTCTCCGTCACTTATATTCGGTATGACTAACGACAGGAAGTTCAGTTACAGATCATTGAGAACAAAATCCTCTGCACCAAATAGAGAATTGGATAACCCAACGGTCCCACCACCAGATAAACTATCCTCTGCAGCACTTAGATTATTAGCTAACCTGAAAGACCCATCATCTGACTAACATATCTTAGTTGTTGTAGTTAATATAATCACAATTTCAGTGGGGGAGTAATGCAGATGGTGGCTCCCAATCTTTCTTTCCAGGTTTATCATGACTGTTTTTCATCTTACAAATCCTCATTAGCCGCCGTTTCAGTATTCACGACAGGCCTTCAAAACCCCCGCAGCGGTTCCGAATAGTACAATTTCATGTATTTTGTTCGGTTGAGTGATTCTGCACTTCGGTAGTTGCCGATTCTCTGTCACAGACATCCTGATTTTAAATTTTGGTGATCCAGACAGGGTATTATACCGTCTATCGTTTGAACAAAAGACGACAGCTAACAGTGATTACAGAAAATTTATGGAAATTTAAATTGTTAGGATTGATCGTAAAAATGGAAAGAAAGTCGTTTAGCACACAGTGCTGAATAGGGATCAGTGTGAGGTTCTAACTACAGTGACGCAAATAAGTATTTAGCTCCGTAAGAAAACTGGATAGGAGAAGAAATTTCAGGCTGTGATTCAAAGCATAATGATTTAGATTGATTTAAGTAGTTAAAATAGTCATAAACAATGGTAAGGAGGAGTGTGACTGGATTCTGGAGATGAAAATGCATGATTGAATCCAAAGGCGAGAAAGAACTGCAGAGGGCATATATTTCAGATCGAAACGAGTCAACTCATGTGTTTGGAGCATAAAGTGAGAGCAAAGGAAAGTTACAATTTTACCACGTAATGAACGCCGACTGACGGATCAACAAGTAAATTAATCTAGTCAATGAACCGCGATATGAAGGTGTTCGATTTTGGTACCGAACTTAAACTCAGTGAGAATCGGTATCACTAATATGGATTTCACATCAGAAAAATGAAGTCACAATGAAGGAAACCACCATTACGTTTATACCTGAAATGCAAATTATACCTAACAAACAGAATTGAAACAGTAGTTAGGGTTATAAAGAAGAATTTACTAGAATGTTAAACCACATACGATCATCTCAGAAGCAAAACACAACTGATATACAACCAGTGAAGGTATTTTGCATTTCTGGTGAGTAAGGGTTCAAGACTGCAGTGGAATCGTTAATTATTACTTATATCAATCAATCGAATGAATAAATTATACAGTGAAGGTAAGTAAAAGATAAGTATAAAATACCTGTTCGAGGTTGCGGGGACGGTCCCATATATCCAACCAGATGTCGCGACATCATGCCTTCGGCAATTGCGTCCGCTGGTATGTTTATCACAATCCAGTTTAGCCATTCTCTTTGACTCGGATTTGTTCGGCTCAGGTTGTCCGGATCTGTAGGAAAATTGCGCCACTTAAACAGACGGTGTCGAACGGGTAAATTTGCACCGGTGAATCGCACGAGCTTACGGTCGCGGATGAATCAGCAATTTAAATCTCAGTCAATTGTTAAGTTTTCAGGCTTGAAAAAGAAATGGATGGAACCGTTGGAATGTCAGTCTTCCTTACACTTACATTACAGGGTCATTTTTGCATTTACGGCGTCGTTCTTTCCATGAAGTTACCGGTAGGATATTAATTTCCATTTCCGTGACATCAGCTAAAGGTGTCCTATTTCATAGGCAGAGAGCGTAGTCTACTGTTTCTTTCTCACAGAATGGTACCCATTTATCAACGTCAGAAGAAAGAAGGGTGATAGGACCTCCCGGATCTGAGTCCATCTGAGTAACCGGGGTCACAGGCTTGACTTGACTTGAAATTAGCATGTCTAGTTACTATCGTTAACTTGTTCCATGTCGGTTTCACGAGACACTGAATGATCGCTCCATGCTTTAGCGTGATAAAACATTCTGTAATTGGGACGAACCAGCTTTTCAGGAATCATTTTTCAATTAGCAACACAGGAACAATAGCATTTTCGATTCTCGCGCGTTGCTGGTACTCGAACTTATTTGGGGAAATTAATAGTTGCAGCTGCTACTTACTACGGAAAAGTTTTGTGCTGGATTCACAAAGACCCCATCGTTGATTTCTAAAAATACCTTCCAGATTTGCCTTTACATTTCGTGCGGATGTGTCACTTTAGGAATAGCCTATACATCTGGCTTGAGGAATCTGATTTAAGTCGCAAGCAAACCTGGGCCATCGATAGGTAGAATGAGCAAAGGGTACTCTTTCGGGGGTAGAAGCCGTTTTCAAACAGATGCTTATCAAAAAGTGATTTGAGGGAGCTGACTAACATAGCCTGAGTTGAAAGCGTGGCCTACATAAAGAGCAAATCATTTCAATAAGGCATTTTCACGACCTCAGAAGGCTGCACAGAACTTGGAGCATTTTTAAAAAGTGCTATGTTATTGCAGCAAAAAAGGCATCATTATCGTTTGGCATGAAAACACTGCGGGATGTAGAATTGGCACTCGATTGTTTTTGGCAATAGCTTATGCCACATGACAGCACAGGCTTTTATTTCTACACCGGTACTTTTCATTTCACGTGGATTATAACAAACGATCAGAAGTTCAGAGCAAATAGCGTTTCATTATTTTATAGTTTTTGATACCGGATTAAAGCAGCGAAAGTACCGGCCCGTTGCTTCTAACCGCCTAAGGGACCATCTAAGCAAGTTACCTGGTATTTTAGCACCGGCAATCCATGGATACAGAACCCCGTCACTAAGCAGGACCCAACATGAACCTGACTGGATACCTAAAAGTGTGTTATGATCCGTAGGCTAATTTATAATGGAAAATCAAACCCGATCTCATGAGTTTACTAGCATCCTGCTAGTTTTTAGTACCCCCGCAAAGATATAGCGAATGTTTCAATCCAGTATCAAAAACTAAAAAGGATTATATATCTTAATGGCGGTACCAAAAACTAGCAGTATGCTAGTAAGCCCATAAGATCGGGTTTAATTTTTTTGCACAAATGTTTTCATTCCCTGTTTCAATCGAATGCTTCTTGCTATTATTTTCACAATCTTTCTATCATTTGGGAGCCATCGGTTAATATTCACTCAGTCATCAGCGATACCACAGTTTGGCTACGCAGACTCCAGCAAAAACTTGGACTTTCTTATCTAGTCTTTCTAAACATGCACAGAGCTTCACCTCTGCCAATCTGATCTTTGTGCTATTGTTCATATGGCCTATGTCATTAAGATCGTCAGTCGAAATCACATTAACAGCATTCACTTTTCGCATAGGCAATATTCCTCGTCACAGGATTATTCTACTGCGGGTCTGAAATGCCCTAGGCTTTCCTGGCTCATATCGAGATGCAGTTTGGGCAACTTCGTCCAGCCTGTCATCACCATTCAACGTCCGAATGTTTCACCAGGCTCCAGCTGTCTTCCGTTGCAGATCAAGCGTCCGCGGTCAGAATTCTTGATTGTAAATTCAAAGCCGACGCACTGATGTAAGCCGTTCATGGCAGAGGCGCCGTAAGCAGAGTCGAGGCATACCGCGATTATGGCAGTGAAATCGAGACAGTCGCTTAGCTTTACGAATAAGGATTGACTAGGAATAAATTAACCACTTCGGTAAACGTATTTGCGACGTTTTGCTCAGTGAACCATATTACTGCTTTTACTAACTAATTTTGACAAAACTGCATGGAGGACCAGAAAACTAGATTATATTGAACACTTGGAAAAGTCGAGGTTTTGGAATCCACTTAAAAAGAGTTTGCTCTGCCAAATAGAGGACGTTGGCCACTGCACAACCTACCGGCATTCTAATGTCACTACGAAGTGAAAGACTCAACGAGCCTTGAAATAGGATTGTTGGCAACTGCCCTCGCATAGATACGCTACTAAATTCTGAAGATGGCGTGCACTAGACTACGGCGCATGGAAAGAAAGGGTTTTTCTTTGAATAGTCAAATCATGGAACCGCAAAAGCAAACGTTTTAGAACTCAGTAAGAACGAGCTTCTGAAAGATCGTCAACAGCGCCAGGTGGCGCTGTCGGAGAACATGACGTGAGATTCACCTGCTACTGCAAGTGCTCCAGTGCCATAGAGTCGTGACCTGCTTAAGTAGTCCCCTAGGCAACTAGGAATAATGAGGAGTTACAAAACGGCGTGAAATCTGGTTTTTGAGTAGATATACTCGAGATATGAAACTAGTGATATCATTGTTTCGATAGTTACCTCACACCGTCTCTGTGTATGTTTAATGGCTGACGCTGCCAGCTGTGCAAAATGTAGTCAGGGACATCTGATCGTCGACTGGGTAAACAATCGTTCTTCAGCTGAGTTTATCGGATCCGTTCTTTTTTCGTGTTCGTTTTCATTCTGAGCCACGTCACTATTTCTTGTAATACCACGGCTTAAATATTGTCACCACGCTCTACAAGCCATCTACAAAAAGTTTGCTACAGTTGCTCAGAATATTTCGTTATCACCTCCAAACGAAACGCGGCAAAGATGAGTAAAACCAAACCTAATGAATACATCAACGCATAAGTTCTCCTGTGACATAGTGAAAATAGAATCTGCGTATTTCAGATCGTAGCACCTGAATTTGGAAGCTTAGAAGATTGGAACCTTCCTTCTTAACAGAGGTAGAGTTGAACATATGACCAGTGACTTATTTCGATGACAGTCTGTGTAGAAAAATGAAACCTAATATTGATCGTCCATTGAACGAGCGTACTGGAAAATAAACAACATTAGCTGTTGACGTTAGCCCGGTTCGGAGTTTGAGGAATTTCAGGGAGACGCCTCACCTGTTCATCTGGTCTGTCAGCAGTGTCGCTCGATTACGATTACCGCATACGCACCTATCATGATTAACGTGTAATAAGATCCTTCGGTTCCAGGATATGTGACTTTTGGCGCGTGTCGCACATCCAAAACGTGCATCGTGGATCCGGCCTCGATTTCTGGCTTTCCAGGATAGTTTATCTTTAATTCTACTTTAACAGCATAGCTCACACTCGGCCAACATACCGTAAGCTTTTTCGTCGGCGCCGTCGACAGCACATCGGGAACGATTTCTGCCTCTGTGAACTTCGCTGCAATATCGTCCGACATCGTTTCCGATCCGTCGCCCTGCAATGAATGCTCTTAGAAGACTGATACCGGAACAGCGGCTGGAGACAACAAATCTATTTCGAGCAATTAGGTCGCTATCGCGTCCGTCAAAACAAATCTGTTGATCAGTGAGGCGAAAACACGCAAGTGTTGGCAACTCTTCCTCCTCCGTCGTAACCTCAGCTCTGCTCCGTCGTAGCCTCAGCTAGCCTCACGTAACGTCGCAAGCGTCTTGCGCGTATGTCGAGTTGAGCTGAGGCGATTTCGCGCAGTGCAGAATTGAACGATGCAACGCTCACATCGTGCTTCTGCAGTTCGTCAAGCGAAACACTATCCGACATTCAGCCGAACGGTTAGGTCGCTTCACGTATGCGTCTTTCGAGTCACCATAAAAAACAATCATCAGAGAATTCTTCTTTTCACCTAGATTCAAAAAACATATGCGTAAATTAGGTGACAACCATTTCAGATCAGAAAACAATGCTCTGGACGAAATTATGCACAGAGCGGACAGAGCCAGCCTGGCGGACGACAGCCAGCGTCTGTGCAAACGTGCAAAAACGCGTGTAACGTGTTAAAGAACCAAGTTGATTTATAGTTAATTTTTGAGTCATAAGCTGCAACCGATCATTTTTATGGGTGAGGGCGCATAAGGAACTTGAGTAATTTTAAAAGAATAGACAGTAAAGAGGAAGTCACTAAAGTTAGCTGATTAATGCTTGTTCATGAGCAAAAGAAAATTCTGACAAGCTTTAGAAAGTCAGCAGTTACGAATGAGCAAATTATGT